TAGGACCTACACTCTGATCTCAGCTTCCAACCACCTTACCAATTCATCCCTGCTAGAAGGAAGATTACCCACATCCCCTTTATCCCCACCTGGCCTGAGGAAGGCCAGTACTGTTGTCAGTTTTTCATTTCTCAGTGTGCCAGCACTATCCCAAAGTGATTGAACTGACAAGCCCATTGTGGAAACACAATGCCATAATGTCTTTATTGGTAAACTTGCTTCCTGTGCCAATCTGTAATAGATGCCACTTCCTCAGAACCTTCCTTCCCCACCCCTGCTGCTCTGAGGCTGTCCCCCAGTCTCCTGTTCTATTCCCTGTGTTCGTGCTCTGTGGGATTGTGGGGGTAAAGAATCTAGTTTTACCCTAAGTAAGGTGACCTTTGTCCTTGTTTCCAGAGAAATAACCTTTGGGGTCATTGGAGTGCCTTTGGGACTTTCAGGCCATACCTGAGCATTTGTGCTGATGAATAGGGACTGGCCAGACCAGAAAAGACTCACTTGGGAGGGTGATAATGCCTACCATCAGGAGATAGGATTTAGCCTATTATGCAGGACTGGCTGAAAAAGCCCAGAACATAGAGGCTCAGAGAACTTCCTGGTGAGGAAAGGGAGGGTAACATGCTGTCTCTGAGACACAGCAGCTCTGTATTGGGAACCTTTTCAGACCTCTCAGACCTTGTCTATGCATCTTTTTCTTATGATGATCCTGATTTGTATCTTTTTATTACAATAAAACCAGTAGTCATAAGTATAACATTCTCTGAGTTCTTTGAGCTATTCAAGTGAATCAGCAAACCCTCAGATGGTGTCCTTTTAACTTGAAAGGTCTGACCTAGGCACAGGTGGCTAGACTCAATGAGGGAGAATTCCATGTGAGTGGCTGGTTTCAGAGATGATGGAGAAGTGGAAACGTGGGGACATGATTGATCTCCACCTTCCTGGAATTGGCTTTATGCTGATTCTCATCCATGAAGCTGTCATTGTAGGGATGTCATTGTGGAGGTACTTGTCTCCCCCTGATGTTTCTTGTCTACTGACTTTCTGTACCTGCAAAAACGGCAAGGAGGCCACATGTTCTGACCTCCTCTAATCTCACAAGAGGAAGACAGGATTACCAGCAGTAACCCAAGGCCTATTGCTGCAAGGCCAAACATGCTGCCTCCCTCCAGCCCTTTCACCAACCGTTCCTCCCAAAGCACCACCACCTGTCTCCTGGGTTCGATAATTCACTGCAGTGGCCACACAGAACTCACAGATTACAGGGTTTATTAGGGAAGCACCAGGCTACAACTCAAGTTCAGGAAGAAC